TGGAGTGTAGGATTGGGGTATGTTGAAAGTTTTAAAAATTCGTACTAATGTGTACGAAATGTCACTATATTTGTTATAATTTGGATTTGGGTGAAACAATCGGGCTGAAATCGAAAAATTCAATTTCTATTGGGTTGTTGAGGTAGGTAATTATGAAAATGTATAATAATGTGTACTAAATTTTACTAATTTTAGTAAATTGTGGTTTGGGTGTACAAAAGGTAGGTAAGCTAGATTTCTGTCTGTGTCATTATTGGTGTGTAGTGTTGAGATATGGATGTAGTTTTGGAAATACGTATTGAACCATAACAAAGGCTCTAAATGGTACAAAAATATTAATTATGGTGTGTAGATTGATTAGCTCTGCTGACATATGCAGTTTTCTGTAAAAAATAATATATTAACACTAGAAAGACTGGAATTTTGTATAAACCTATTTTGCCTAAAATCGGTCAAAATGACCTCATTCTGAAAGAATTTTTATTGTGTAAAGAATTTTTTTAAAACTTACTTTTTATATTTTTTACATTATTTACAATCGTTGTTGTTGTTGTTGATTTTTTTTTTTTTATAACTTTGTCTTCTAAATTGCGGTTATTTGACATTTTAGACACATGTTCGACACCATGCGTTTATAACATCGATCTACGTTTTGGTGTTTTGAGATTTTAGAAAACATTCTCATTACAGTATGCTGAATTTTGTATCTCGTGTCGATTCTGGTTTACAACATTCGCTTTCTGCTGATATCGGAAATTTTTGTTGCACTTCCGCCACTCATTCGATGTAATATATTTACAAGTTGTGTTGGAACCTTCATTTCATCTAATTGTCATAATACATTTGGTGAGGGGTATACAAAATTCGACCCGGCCGATCATAACGACTTCTTCACTTGATCATTACTAGTTCATAAGGTGTAGAAATCACACAGTGTAAATGTGTGTGTTTTTATACCCTTCACCACACTGTGGTACAGGGTATTATGTCTTTGTGCATATATTTGTAACAGGCAAAAGGAAACGAGATAGACACATGGTTCCTTTTGAGAATATGCATAGAATCATTTTCTGAGTCGATTTATGCAAAGTATTATGCAAAACAAAGTACAGGTCGCATTTATAATCCGATTTGAATGAAATTTGGCACAAGTCACTTATTTGGCCCAGGGACGAACCCTATTGAAATTGGTGAAAATCGGTTCAGATTTAGATATAGCTCCCATATATATTTTCGTCCGATTTTAGGTAAATAGTGCACCAAAGCCCCTGAAAATCATTCAATTTGCACGAATTTTGGCACAGCGTACTAAATTAAATCTAGAATGATGTGGGCTAAGTTTCGTAGTAAATTAAGTGTAGAATGTCGTGTGCTAAGTTTCGTAAAATTCGGTTCAGATTTAGATATGGCTCCAACATATATTTTCGTCCGGTTTTTTCGTAAATGGTGCACCAAAGTCCCTGAAAATCGTTCAATTTGCACGAATTTTGGCGCATCGTACTGATTTAAGTCTTGAATTATGTGTTTAAATTTTCCCATATATATTTTCGGCCGATTTTAAGTAAATGGTGCACTTAAGATCCATAGCTAGGCCGATTGACACAACGTACTCAAATTAATAAAAAATAATCGCTGGTAAGATTCCTTGAAATCGGTTCAGATATAGATACAGCATAGCTTCCATATATACTTTTGACTTATTCATGTTAATTGTACACCAAATAATAAATGGGTGTCTGATTGAGATTAATTTTTAAACAGTATGTAGGTTGATGGATTAAGATCACATATTTAAGTTCGTTCAATTGCATGTCAATGTTCCTTCCAAAAGGCGACGTCTTTTAGTATACATATGTAGAATATTCCCAATGTGGCGAAGGGTATCATATAGTAGGCCCAGTCCGACTTTACTACTTTCCTTACTGGGTTTTAATATTATCGACTAGGAGTAAATCATGTAGTACGATACCTATAAAATAATTAATTCCCCTTTTAGGTTAGGTTCGAACTAAATAAAAAATAATATATACTTTTTAACTGTGAATGATACTGTGAAATACGCAAATTTGGCCCAAAATAAATCATACCATAATGAACATAACGTTTTTTTTTTCTTGAAAATTGAAACAATTGTTTTAACATATTTATATTGTAATTATCAGAAGATTCTTTACAATAAATTTACATTATTCCTCATTTAAAGTTTTTGGCTTTTCATTGATCCCATGTTTCCGAGACAATAAAATATAATTCTTGGCAACATTTTTTCGATGTGTTACATATCAATTTCGGCAACCTTGACACATAACGAATAAGGGGAATATCAAATATGAAGACTTCAGACATTCGTCAAAATATATAATAATTTCTCATGGACGGACTTCAAACGTACCGAGTAGCCAACTGCATTTTATTGGCTACTCAGTATGTAAGAGTTGTACCACTTCTATGTGATTCAATTTTACATAGATTTTGAATTCTTAATTGTATCCATAATTTGCATAAACGCACTTCGAAATAAAATAAAGGGAAACCCTTCGCAACTAACAAAAATGTGTTCCCACTTTAAGCTCAATGTTGTTTATGTATGTAGAAAATTCCAAGTACTCCCATATTGCAAAATGTTGCATTGCTAAATAAAATTTTAATAAAAAATTTTGTGAAAACACCAAAACACTAATTGATTTTATGGATTTAAAAATATTAATAAAAAAATATAAACTTTGGTATTTTCATAAATTTAAAATTATATTTAGGAATGTAATGTAAGAAATGATGATTACTTAATCTATTCCACCTTTATACAAAAACAAAAATAAGTAAATGAAACTACGTTAACCCAATAAAGGACCTAAGACGACAATAAGCCAACATGTATATGAATATATTACAGTATTGTGCAAAATCAAATAAAAAACAAACAACAAATAATGAAAGAAATTTATTTTTGGATATATACTCTAAATTTGAAATCCAAATATGTTATTCCACAGCTGATGCCAAGAGGAAATTATTATTAGGTAGCCATAGGGATCACCTGTTGCAGAGCAAAATGAACCCACATTAAAAAAGACAAATTAATCAAAGAACACGACCCATACATAAATGTGAAGTTAAGGAATTAGATTATTAGTTTTTGAGTTATCGTGCCCGCCATTCGCAAAAAAAATGTTTAGAGAAAAACGCGTTTAAAGTTTGAGAAGCCCTTCAGCCGTCACTTGATGCTGACACAATAAATCGGTTATATCTTCGAGAGTTCTTGAGATTTTCACTTGAAATTTTGTAGAGACATTCTTTAATCAGTGTAGATTCGAATTATATCAACAAAAATTTTGTCCCCGAGAATGGGGGGGTCCCCTTAATGGACGTATCGAATTTTTATTTCTTAACAAAGAGATATATGATTTTAATAGTGGAAAGCAATATCAACCAAATGGCCACTACTAGCACTTTTACATGACCATATCCTTGTCATGAAATTTTACATATCCAAATAGCAAAGAGACTGTCCTAAGTCACCACCATCATTATCAATTCTATCTTTGGGGTCTAGAAACGACTCTAGACTGTTGACAAGGGCATTATCTTTATTTTCGTTCCCAAGGAAGAAGTTGTAAGGTTGTAATCCCAAGGTCTCAGTGGTCACCCTTACGACATAAATTTTTCAATGTCCTTTTAGGATTTTTTGTGCAATTGGTGGCCCTGATGGTCCTACATTATATGACGAATCGGTCATTTATAATAGAGTAACTGTCTATCTGCTTATCGATTTACCTTGAAAAATTGTCTTTAAAAAATTCGCGCCTGTGGTAGACCTTGAAAAATTGTCTTTAAAAAATCCACGACTGTGGTAGTCATCACTATCCTTATCAAATCTATCTTTGGGGTCTACACACGACTCTAGACTGTTGACAAGGGCATTATCTTTATTTTCGTTCCCAAGGAAGAAGTTGTAATCCCAAGGTCTCAGTGGTCACCCTTACGACATAAATTTTCCTACATTATATGTCGAATCGGTCATTTATAATAGAGTAAATGTCTATCTGCTTATCGATTTACCTTGAAAAATTGTCTTTAAAAAAATCCCCAACTATGGTAGACCTTAAAAATTTGTCTTTAAAAAAATCCCCGCCTATGATAGACCTTGAAAAATTTTTCTTTAAAAAATCCACGCTTGTGGCAGACCTTGAAAAATTGTAATCTTTAAAAAATTCACGCCTGTGGTAGACCTTGAAAAATTGTCTTTAAAAAATCCCCGCCTATGGTAGACCTTGAAAATTGTCTTTAAAAAATTCGCGCCTGTGGTAGACCTTGAAAAATTGTGGTCTTTCAAAAATCCACAGGTGTGACCTTAAAATGTCTATCTGCTCATCGATTTACTCTGCAGATCTAAATCTACTCTTCTAGCTCTGCAATTATCACCAGGATCTTAATTTAGACTAATATCCAAAAAAAAATCTCCCCTTAAATGTTCCCATTCTTGTAGTTTATATTTTGTTTAATAAAATTTTTTATTTTTACTTTTCTTTGTAGTTGTGTTAATTTATTTTCTTTTTGTCCATTTAATTTTGTTCTCTGTAGTTTTGCACAACACTGTTCTAGAAATATGAAAATGTATTCATACGCACGCACACCATATTGGTCATTTTATTTATGACACCTACCATAATGTTAGTGTGTGTGCGTGCGTGTAATACACCAAAGTATTTCTTCTCCGTGCACCCAAGTAAAATGTGTTCTAATATCCTTCTCTCCATATATATATATACATATACATACATATTAATATGTATACACATGAATGCATAAATTCATACATAATTTAGCAAAAAGGCATTATTATGTATACATGCAAGAAAAAAACATTGATATTTACATACACAGGCACAACACATATACCCACCTATCTATCTACCTATATTACATTATGCTTGTACTTGTGCGTGTGTATGTAAAACGGAAAAATGTTGTAAAAAGAAAAACATTACTTAAACTTACAGACAAGGTGACGATGGTAGTGTTGGCCCCGTTGGTCCTGTTGGCGACACACGAATGCATGAAGCCATATCACACACCTGTCTAAGTTCATCAGCTGAATATGAATTGGCTTTAATATTGAAAGAGTTAAGATGGATAACTGATCAGGTAAGCATACATTTACAGAGTACTGCCACAACGAAAAAACAAAAACACAGATATTGTTAACTCACTGTGACATACATACATATACAACAAAGTTAAAGTGAGAAACAAACAAAAAAAAATGTGAAAAATAATAAAAAAGAGGACAATATCTCATTGACATTGTTTGGACAAAAATGAGAAAACAAAGACTCAAATGAAAAGTAAAAGTGCAGTAGTGATATTACAGGGTGACTCGAATGTATGGATACAATGAAATTCATAAATCAAAATAAATAAAATTATTATTATTATTTTAATTTAATATAAGGATAAATATTAATACATTCTGAAATAAAATTGTATTTAAATAATTAATATTTGATACATTTAATATTGTTCTCCTAAACTCATGGACATATAATAATATAAACTTAATTTTTATTAATTATTTTATATATAAATATATTAAAATATGTTAAACTTTCAAATCTTCATAATAAATTAATGACAATTAATTATATTAATTATTTTATTTCATTAAAATTAAAATAAATACATATATATTTATAATATTAATAAAAATGTCAAACACATAAAAATAAATTTTAATATCCATTATTAACCATTATCTTTAATATATATTTAAAATATCCAATGATAAGCCTTGAAAATAAATAGTCTTTAAGGATCCAACCCTGGGAAAGTCATTGGAAAATATTCTTTATAAAATACCAAACCTGTGGTAGGCTTTCAAAAAAATATTCATTAAATATTTAAAGCCTTTGATAAGACGAAAATAAAAAGCCTGCAATAGACCTAAGATTCCTTGAAACAACAAATCTGTGATAGACCTTGAAAAATATTTTTTTTAAACTCCCAAGCCTGTGATAAGCCCTGAATAATATTTTTTAAAAGTTCCAACCATTTGTTAATCTATATTTTTTTTTAAAACTCAAAACTGTGATAGGACCTTGAAAATATATTTTGTTAAACAATCCCAAATCTTTGATAGGCCCTGAAAAATATTTTTTTTTTTTTTTGAAAAACCTTTAATTTATTTGTTTTTAAAAAAATTCCAATTGAACAATAATTTTCACAAGCATATTATAAGCCTTGGAAAAAATAGCTATTTAAAATTCCCTAGCCTCTAATAGGGTTTGAACAATATTCTTTACAAAATTCCAAGCATGTGATGGACCTTGAACAAACTGTCGGCAGAAAATTTCCAAAACCTGTGAAAGACCTTAAAAATATGTTTTAAAACCCCCAAGCCTGCTATAGGCCTTGAACAAGTTAATGTTTAACAAATTAACGCCTTAGATAGTTCTTGGAAAATTCCACCCCTTTGATTGTTCCTGAATAAATTTATCTTTGAAAAATCCTAAGCCTGTGATAGGTTTTGAAAAAATTAGCCTTTAAAAAATCCCAAGCCTGTGATAGGCCTAGGAAAAAACTAATCTTATAACAAGCCGAAGTCTGTGATATAGCTTGAAAAATAAATCTTAAAAAAATTCCAAGCCTTGAAAAAATTAATCATAGAATACCAGGCCTGTGGTAGGCCTTGAAAAAATCCCAAGCCTGTGATAGGCCTTGAAAAATTTAATCTTTAAAAATCATTGAAAAACCTTAAAAATTGTCTTTCAAATATATTCGCCTGTAGTACTTACCTACTTAGCTGGCTTATGACGGTTATTCCATAAGCCAAGCTTAAAAAAAATTTCCAGGCGTGTCGGTCTTGTGCGCATCTCATCCAAGTTGAATGAGCATTTTCAGAGATGTTGTTGGTCTTCCCCATCTACGTGAACCATCACTTGGCTCGCTTTTATACGCCTTTTGAGCTGGGGCATCTTCATCCATTTTCACAAGATGGCCTAGCCAACGTAGTCGCTGCAGCTCAGGGATGTCAAAAAGGTGTAAACGTCGAAAACGTCATATACCTGTATAAAATGTAATAAATGTAGTAAACGTCATTTATTTGAATATTATTACCATATACAGTTATTTTCATGAATATATATTATTTTTACATATATCTGACTATTCCTTACTATAACTGATAAAAAAATTCTTAACATTTTGAAAAAAAAATAAAAAAATTTTATACGGATTTAAGTAAAGCATACGTAATTTCCAAATTGATTAAGGGAAATAGCTATTTTGTCAAAAACCTAATGGTTTTGGTTAGGTTTACGTACGTTTCTGACGTATGTATTATACGTCGGAAATGTATGTAATTTACGTCACTGTGTCTGACGGACCATCTCTGCTGCAGCTCGATCCGTCTGACTATGTCGATGTTCCAGAATAGATGGTATAACTAATGTTTCATTCGATGGGGATGTTCACCACCGACGCAGATCGGTCCATAGATCTTTCGGAGAATTTTTCTCTCAAACACTCCAAGAGCTGCTTTATCTGCTGGCGCAAGTACCCATGCTTCAGATCCATACAACAGCACGGTTAATATCAGCGTCTTGTAGAGTGTGCATTGGGTCTGGTGAGAGGTGGCCTTGTTTCTAAACTGCTTACGTATCATTTGTTGACCATCACTACCCTTCTCCGAATTTCATTCGTTTTATTTATGGCGGTACCAAGGTATATAAAATCTTTGACTACCTCGAAGCTGTAGTTTTCAAGTTCCACTGTTGGTCCGAGTCTACTGGACGTCTTGCCCGTTGATAGCATCAACTTGGTCTTTTCGTCATTTACAGCCAGTTGCACTTTGGCAGACTCCTTCTCAATTCGTTCAATGGTGGCTGTTACCGCTTGCAATGTTCGACGCATTATATCGATGTCTTCGGCGTTTGCGAGTAACTTATGCTGTACAGAGTGCCATTTCTGTTCACATTTGCATCTCCTATGACCTTTTCCACCAGGATGTTAAACAGATCGCACGACAAACTGTCACCTCGTCTAAATCCTCGTTCGGTATTGAAGGATCCGAGAGGTCCTTTCCGACATTAACTGCTGACCTCGTGACAGTTAAATTTATTCGGCATAGCCTTATTAATTTTGCAGGAATGCCGAACGCAGACATGGCTTTAAACACCTCTGAACGGATAGGGCTATCGAATGCGTCTTTATAGTCGACGAAAAGGTGGAATGTGTCGATGTGTTTTACGTGTGGTTTTTCCAGGATCTAGCGCAGAATGAAAATCTGGTCAATGGAGGATTTGCCAGGCCTGAAGCCGCATTGGCATGGTCCAATAATGTCATTGACCATTGGCTTCAGTCGTTCACACAGCACACTGGATAGCACTTTATATGCGATGGGAAGGAGACTTATTCTTCTATAGTTGGCTCATATCGTCTTGTCTCCTTTTTTGTGCACGGGACAAAGGATGCTGAGGTTCCAATCATTGGGCATGCATTCCTCTAGCCAAATTGTACTAATCAGCTGGTACATGCTCCTGACCAGCATCTGGCCACAAGTCATGAATAGTTCGGCTGGTAACCCATCGGCCCCTGCTGCTTTAATTGCTTTTATGACCTCATCTTGGCTAAGTGTTACCATCATATCTTATTGGTTCTGGGGTATCTTCAACGCCACTATTTGATACCAGAAGCTTTTCAAAATGCTCCTCAGCACGCTGTCTTTATCTGTCACCAGGTTTCCTTCTTATCTCTACAGGAGGATGTGCCTGCATCAAAGCCTTCGGTTTGGTGTGTTACCCGTTGGTAGAATTTTCGGACATTATTCTGACTCCTGTACATCTCGATTTGCTCACGTTTTTCTTGCTCTTTCTTCTTTTTTCTGAAAAAACGTTTCTCCTCTCTCCTTTTCTCCCGATAGTCCATAGTCCTCCATCGCATTACGTGTTGGTATTGTCCGCAGGGTTGCCCTATACGCTGCGTTTTTTCACATCAGTAGCATTACGACACTCCTGATCGTACCACGGTTTTCTTGATGATGGTCTTTGGTAACCAAGTGTTGATTTTGCTGCAGTCTACGCCTTGATAGACCTTCAGAAACTTGAAAAATTGGCTTAAAAAACCACGGCTTATAGAACATAAAAAATTGCCACAGAATGTCCTTGAAATAAAATCCTTTAATAACCCACTCCTCTGACAGTCCGTGAACTAAAATTCTTAACAAAAATCAACGCCTCTGATAGTTCTTTAAATATACCTAAATATACGAATATATGGCTGTATGGCCCTTAGGAGCATTTTTTTAATAATTTCATATTTTTGAATCTAATTTAATTGTTAAGAAATAAGTAATCGATATAATAATTATCAAAACCTATTGCAGTAGACTTTAATACATATATAATTTTTAAATTTAAATACAACTTAGAAGGAGTCCAGGTAAATGTTTGTAATTGTTTTCCTTTTTTTAACTCTTATTAAAATCTGTTCAAAATAAATTTTTAAATATTTGTAATTTTTAATATTATTGTAAAATATAACTTTAAATAAGTCAATTATTAACATGTTAACAATATTGTTCTTTTCTCAAATATTTCTGTATTTTTTATCCCAACAACAGGATTACAGAACACGCGGGAAAAGCACAAAGTTCCCGACGTTCTGTTGACAATGATTAACCAAATTGCCACATCAAAATACCAATCGCCGTGTTCATCACCGCTTTTGCGTGATGAAGCCGTCAAAAATAGAAGAAGAAAAAAAAAACAAAAATATTTTAATTTATTATAGGGAACAAAAGATACGGCATAGTTCGCTTTTTTCAATTTCCAATATTAAAAAAAATCTTTTAAAAAAAATTGGAACATTGATGCTTAAAAAATGGTTATGAAATTGTGGGTAACAAAAATTAGATAATTATTAATTTAAGTTGTATTTGTTGTTATAATTTTTATTCTTAACAAAAACTTCTCCAGCTATCCAACGTCAAAATCGAAAATTTGTATCCTTACATTTGGGTCACCATGTATTTTTTTTTTTTTAAACGACATGGCGTATTTATTGGCCATATGATATTTCTTTTATAAAAAAAATCCTATTTTTTATTTTGTTAATTCTTATATTTGTTTATGTGATATATATTTGTTTTTAAAGTTGAAAAAAGAAGATGAAACCGGTGATGTAACCAGAGATTGGAAATTTGCTGCCATGGTAGTGGATCGTTTGTGCCTTATTGTGTTTACGTTATTTACCATAATAGCCACATTGGCTGTATTGTTTTCAGCGCCCCATTTTATTGTAAGTTCCATCTGTGAAATTTCAATATAAAACAATTTTTATATATTATTATATTTAT